GAGAATCTTTAATATGAAATATATGAAAAAAAGAATATTATCTTGAGAAGGAAATATGAAAATAACTTTGAACAATCTCAAATTAACAGAAAAATATAATAATTATTATTTCTTTTTAATTCTGAATAAAAACCCTTTTTTTAAAATAAGTCAATCAAAAGATGTCACGTAAAAACAGCAACAAGAAGTTACAAGAAGAAGAGGAAGAAGAAGTAGAAGAAGAAGTAGAAGAAGAAGTAGAAGATGATGATGAGATTGAAGAAGAAGAAAGTGAAGAAGAAGTAGAAGATGGTGATGATGAGGAAGAAGTAGAAGAAGAAGAGGAGGAAGAAGAAGAAGACAGTGTTGAAGAGTATGAGATTCATGTTTATGAAGAAAATGGAGAAGAAGTTCTCTTTGGAGATGAAGAAGATGAAGAATGGAATCCAGTTGTTGCTGAAATTGCACCAGCACCAAATGTAGATGTGACACAAACTGCAACAAGTAATTTTTGGAAGTGGTTACGAAAAGATTGGATTGAATCTCATGGTGGATTACAAGCAGTGATCAATGGAGGACTTTATTATGGTAATGATGAAATTAAAAAAACTTCTGGTACTACAGAAACTAAAGAGAAAGTTGAAGTTAAGAAAGAACGAGTTCAAGTTGAATTATTTGATAAGTCTATTCAAGGAGATGAAGCAATTGAAAAGAAACATGTTGAGGTTATTGATAAAACTAAACAAAAAGATAGAGATGAGTTACCATTGTATTTGATTTGGTTAGAAGAAAATGCTAACTCACAAACATTAAAATTCAAGATTGCATCTGATATTTTATCTGTTTCTATTACTAATTATGGAAGAAGTAAAAGACCTGGAATTGGAATGGATAATGAATTCCTTGGTACTCTTCTTAAAACATCAGAAAGAATTCTTGAATATCTAAAAAATAATGAAGTTATTGCTTTATTAAAGGATAAATCAATTAGTAATAGAATTAGCCTTTCTTTAAGTAGAATTATTGAAGATGAAGTTCATTCACTAAAAGAATTTATTCCATCAACAGAAATGTATTCAAATAAAATGCAGGAAATTGTTAAATTTTCAAATATTTCATTAGTTGTATTAGCTCATTTAAAGAATATTGCTAAAAGTGTTAATGCATTTGCAAATGATTTTATTGACATCTTTATTGACTTAGCCTTATCTATTCTTAAGGCTATTCATTGTTTCCCAAATGATACATCATTTATTTATGATAATCAACCAATAACTCTTAAAAATTTAGTAACTGCACTTGCTACAGTTATCTTTACAGAGTCTAAAGATGAAGAGTCAAAACAAATTGCATTCCTTTGTCATGTTGCATATCTTGCTTTAAATGGAGATTATAGTGGTGCTTCATTATTAGTTTCAATTCCAGCAACATTAATTAATAGTAATATTCCATTCCAAATTTTACATAATAGAGCTGTTGCTCTTACTGCTCTTTCTGCTTTTAAGGCAAAAGAATATCGATTAGTTTATAAATTACTTCATGACTTAATTCAAACAAACCATGTTCAAGTTATTCTTGGTCAAGCTAATATGAAATCAGAAACAAGATCAGTTCCACCACATATGTTCATTGACATTAATGCATTAACTGCTGCTTTTTATTTCTCAGCAATTGCTTCTGAAGAAGGAGATTCTCCAATGAATATTACTGCATTTAAAAAATTAATTGAAAATAAATCGGCTGCTTTTATTGTTCCAGCACAAAATATTAGTGGCCATGCTTGTGCAATTCATAGAGCTATTCTCGAAGGAGATTGGGTTTCTGCTTTTGAACGTATTGACATAATTGAAAGTCAAACTACTCTGAAATTAGACTATTCAGATATTAAAAATATCATTAAAACATTTGCTGCTAAGGTTTATATTAAGAAATATAGAGATTATTATAATGACCTTACTCCAGAATATTTTGCTGAATTATTCCAAATAAGTGAAGATGCTGCAAAGGCTCTATTGAATTAATTTAAAAAAAATTGCTTTTAATTATTTTTACTTTTAAATAACATTCATTTATTTTAATAAATATGGTTCTGGATATAAGGCTGAGGGGTGTTTAGATAATATCCAATCTTTGATTCTATTAACCTTTTGAATATAGAATAATTTGTTTATTTTACTAACTGATTTTTCAGTTATTTGTTGTGATTTAATGTTTTGTTGTTTTGGTTTATAACATTCTTTGTTTGTAATCTCTAATTTATCAGTTTTATTTTGAATAGATAAAACTGTATCTCTTTTGAAAGTTAGACTTTTGCTGTTGATAAATTGGTTTTGCTTATTTTCAGTAATTAATTGGAATGACTCCATAACTTTATCAACAACAATTACTTGCATGGTATGATGTTATTACATAGTTCAAAGATGTTCAAATAAACATCACTTCATAACACTATTATAAAAGACAGAACATAAATTTTCTTATTTAATTAATATGAACTTTCTTTTGAGTCTAAATTTTTTAAACGTAATTCAAGATAGTTAAAATATATCAATATAAATATTATTAATGAGGAGTTATTAAAATATTCATCATTGTTGAATTTTGACATCCAAAAAATTAAAGCAAAATAATGACACAAATAATTCATTCAAATATTAAATTAGATTCAACCCACTGAATTACAGAATTATCTTTTATACGTGGAATAATAATGGTTCTAATATTTTGATAATATTCTTTCAACCAATTTTTCTCGTCACTTGTTAGTAGACCATAATCAATTAAACAAGAACAATATGGAACCAATGTTAATGGTGTTAACTTAAAAGATGAGTTTTGTGCATTTTCAAAAACAATAACGTTTTCAATTCTAATTCCAAATTCTTTCTCAAGATAAATACCTGGTTCAATACTTGTTGTCATCCCTTCTTTTACTTTTAAACCAACTCCATACATTGGTGGATATTCATGAACAAAAGAATAATGACCAACACCATGACCAATGTCATGTTTAAAGTCCCATTCTTCATTTTCATTTATAATGGGTTTTCTTGAAACTGTATCAATTTTATCAATACTTTCGTCCTGAAAAATTTTTGTCATCTGTGCATCTATATGTCCTTGAAGTACTCTTGTATAACACAGTCTTTCTTTTTGTGTCGGTGTTCCAAAATGAAGAGTTCTTGTAACATCAGTTGTGCATCCACTTTTATATTGTGCTCCAACATCACATAATAGTGTTTTATCCCAATTAATTAACTCATTTTTTTGTTCTGTTGGTTCATAATGCATCATTGCTCCATTCTTTCCAGTAGCAATGATAGAAAGGAAACTTGGTTCATCATATTTTTCTCCAAGTTCTTTTCTTAATTTTTCTAATAATACACTTGCATCCCATTCTGTAATATCAGTCCCTTTTAATTGATTTAATTTACTAAAGAAATAACAAAGAATAACACTATCATTGATATGAATTTGTTTTATCATCTCAATTTCTTTTGAACTTCTTATTGATCTTAATTCTTGAATAAATCTTAGTGATTCTTTTCTTTTTAAATTTGAAATCGAGTCAATAATATCTTGTAATTTCATATTAACATTTTCTTTGTTATAAACAACAATGGGAGTTTTTATTAAATGTTTAATAGATCCAAAGAATGAATGATAAGAGTGAACTTTAATCTTTAATTCATTAAATGGATATTGTACTTCTAATTCTTGTGCTTGGTTTTTATTTCCCACAAACAGATGAACTTGAGTTGGAGTAATAACTCCATACCCATATGCTATTGGTGAAAAAGGAATATCATGTGCTCTAATATTGAAAACCCAATTAACATCAGCAAGATCAGTTAATATAATAGTACTGTTATGATATTTCTTTCTTATACTTTCTATTTTTTGAATTACTGGTGTTGAACTTTCATTAAAAAGATGAATTGGAGATAAAATAAATGGTAAAGGATTAATAATATTAAAAATATCAATTGGGATAATGTCCAATTCAATATCAAAAAGTTCTTCTAATGACATGTAATTTGTAATTTCAGGATTGAGTCCTAGAGAAATCTTTTTACTTTGTTTAATCATTAAACATGGAGAAATAGTTTCTATATTATCAATGTCATATACTTCCCATCCTTGTGCAATTTCTTTTTGTGCTTGTAAAAAATAAATACTATCAGTCCATAAACATGCCTGTTTTTGAGTTATAACAATTTCACCTGTAAATCCACTAAACCCACATAACCACTCTAATCGATGATAAAATGAATGAGTAAATTCTGTCATATGAGGATCAGATATTTCATGATAATAATGAGTAATTTTACGTTTTTTCATTTCATCTCTTAAGAGTTTTAAGTGTTGTTGAAACATGAATTAAGAAATAAACAATTTTAATTAAAATATAAAACATTATTTTTAAATAACACAAAAATAAAAATAGAGAAATATGAAAAAATTATTTTTAATTTTTAGAGTTCAACGATTCACTGAACTCAAAATTCAAAAATGGCTTCAGAAAGCGAGAAAACTAAGATT